CTCGCTCAGCCAGTGAGCCGCTGGTCTGTATGTGGGATCCGAACCCTCGGCGGGAGCGCCACCGCGCTCCCAAGCGGTGCACTGTAGCAGTGCGCCACCAGGCCGGCCCCTACTGTTGTTTTTTTTAAAGAAATCTCTTCTTTGGCACTTTAGAGAATCTAAATAAATAGTATTGCTCTATGTTATCAGGACTGCACTTTGAGGATATTATACTTAACACTGACACTTTTAAGTGTCTTGGTGTTGGTGGGAAGATGAAAGGACAAGACTTCTAGAAGGATGGTGGTGGTATTTCCCACTCAGTAGAATAGACATTGTTGAGCACCTAAAGACACTGTGTAGTAGGTAGTGGTAGTGCAGAGCCCAGTGAAGACCAAGCCTCTGCCATGGAGGAGCTCAGTCTAGGATTACTATAGAGCCGGATCTGTCAGTTGGCACATCACCTGTACCTCTCTGCATTTTAACTAATTTTCTGCGTGTGTCATTTTTCTTTTCTTTTTCTACAAGGTTAGTTTAAAATATTTTTTTTCAGAAATATAGAAAATAATGCTAAAAAATTTAATTATACATTATTCTAGCAACCATTGAAAACCAATGGAACTTTGAAATATAGCTTTCCAATTATATTGAAAAATAACTTTTAAAATACAGTTCATCTCATCTGTAAGATGGGGATTAAAAAGAAAAATATAGTTTAGTGTAAAAAATTAGAAACTTCAGCAAAGCACTAAGAGTATAAACATCACCTGCAATAGGCCTCGGTGAGGTAAGAACTGCTAACATTTGTTCTGTATCCATCTAGACTTTTGTGTCTACTTTTTTGTTTTTAACCAACATGGGATTCTGTAGTAATAATTTTTAGATTGTTTCTTTTCAAGTTACATTATGAACATTTTCCAATGTCATTAAATCTCCTCTTCCAGCATTATTTTTAGTGAATGCCCAGTATTATATCATATAGATGTGTCATAACTCATACAACCAATCCTCTATTTTAGGTTCTTCCCAGTGTTTTCCTAATATAAACAATGCTGCCTTAAACTATCTGGTAGATAAATCTCCTTTTAACATCATAATTATTTCCTTAGGATAAATTATAGCTATGGAATTAATGGTGTACATGTTTTTGCAGTTTTTATGTTCATTGCAGGGTTGCCCTCTAGGCAGGTTATAGGCAATATTTTCCTTATATCTTCACAAGTTGATGTTATAACTTCAGACCTTTATGAGTTTGAAAAGTAAAAAACAAAAAAAACCACACAGGCAACTTGTTTTAATTTGCATTTCTTATATTACTAGCACAGTTGAACAGTTTTCATGTCTTTGACTATGTGTGTGTCTGTGTGTGTATGAATTGCCTGTTAAATTACCTTTGCTCAATTTTCTACTGAAGAGT